TTTTATGGGGCAATGCGGGACACGGCCCGCCTTATACATACCAACCAATACAGTTCCATCTAGAACAACTTTTGAACCTTCTGCAAACAACAGTCTACAGCCAGTCTCAACTTCATGGCTGCCTTCTACCGACCCACAGTTGGTAACCTTCAAACATTCCACCTACGAACGCTCTCCTGAACAATCCAACGTCATGCCAACTCAGACAGAACGCCTTGCCCGTTACCAATTCCCACACAACCCATTTCTTTATTATGTTGCTAGCGAAGTAACTAACACCTACCCATCTTCTTCTCGCCTTGATGCTGTCTATTAACACTCCAATTTCACTCCGGCTCCAGCTTCTGTCTTGAACACGCCTAAGGGACTGTCCCCATATCCACACCATTCCGCGACCCTGTTACCCTACATCCTGGGCACCATGTCAATTTGTGCCAATGCAGATAGAGCTGCCCAAATCTTTCCAGCCTGTTACGACCCCCCTCTTATGGAACTTGCCGGGACACGGCCCGCTACGTCACATTCTTCAAGCACACACACCCCCTCTCGCCAACATCTGCTGACTCCTACACTTGTAGGAGTTGTCCCCATACTAGTAGCACCAATACTTGCTGCCACATCGCCTGATGTATGCAACCCGGGAACTGTAGATTACAGTGAATCGGAAACGCCTCCACCACTGTCTTGTTACGACCCTACTACAGAATCTGACGACCTGATGACGGGACGATGCGAATCCGACACGTACACTCTCCTCCTCCGCAATGTACGATCAGTTAAAAATAAAATGCACCTTCTAGGCCCCTTCATCCTTCTGTCAACTCCGCATATGGTGTTGATAACCGAAACATGCCACTCAGCCGACGCTTTTGACGCACTGATCCACATTCCACGATAAACCACTTTCTGTAGTGGATGTGCCAGTAAACGTGGTGGCGGATGCCTCATTTACGTCAAAAACGAGTTTTACGCATCAACTTTCCACACTATATCTCTTGGCAACTCTGAAGACTCAGTCTGGATTCAGGCCGTTGGAGGTCACCTGGACCTCTTGATAAGCTGTTTATACAATCCACCGCACTCCTCTTGTGCTAGCGTTAACAAACTGGTCAGACTCTTTCAGGAAGTCTCATTTCTCCCTGCACGTTATAAGATCATTACTGGAGACTTCAATATGCCTCACATTTCGTGGCTCAGACAGTCGGCCCCACCCAAGTACATGGCCATTGTTGACACTATTTCCACTCATAAATGGACACAGCATGTGAATGCACCGACTAGAAAATCGAACACACTGGACCTTATATTCACTAACGTTATCCCGCACGCAAGCGCCGGCGTGTTAGACAACATACCGGGCAGCGACCACAAGGTGGTGAAGCTGTCCTTCGCTCTCCTTAAATCCCGTCAACATGCAGTCACAAAATATGAGGTATTTCGGCCCCTCCAGCGCATTAACTGGGACATCTTCTCCTCCCTCCTCCGATCATCACCCTGGGAGGACTTCTTTCTCTCCGACAACATAGATACTGCGACCAACGTGCTTTACAACAATTTCACCAACTGCTTAGACGTCCTTACTCCAAAACAGAGGAAGATCAAAAAGCGTCAAAATCTTGATGACACCTCCACACGCAAACTGACCAGCAGGCTCAAGAAAATGCGCTCCTGCTACATCAAGACCAAAAGCTTTCACCTAATCATCCGTATGAACGAATTGCTAGCCGACTGGAGAAATTCACAAAGTACTACATGTACATTAGTAAAGCATGCAGCGCTTTGTACTGAAAACAAAGCAGTCTCTCATTCGACTACCGAAGCAGTGGGAAGGCAGTAAAGATATCCCGATTACTACCTTAGTGCTTCCTGATAAAAGTATAATCACAGGTGCGGTTGATCTCTGCGAGTACATTAACACACATTTCTGTAACTCCTTTACTAGCAATGACTTGGCACTTCCAAATACGATTCCCAAGTTCACTGAAGATCAAATTCATACTAATGACTTTGACTTATGCAATATCAAGCGAGCACTACGCTCGTAGAAACTGTCACACTACCCAGGTCCTGACGGTATGCCTTCTTCCATTTTAAAACTCGGAGGCCCGGACATTCCAGTCCTTCTCCTCAATGTCTTCACCCTCTCAATGAAGAGTGGTCACTACCCGTCCAATCGGAAGCACGCAGTCGTCATACCACGACACAAACGAGGTTGTCGCCTAAATAATGACAATAATCGTCTCATTAGTCACACAGCTATTGCGTCTCGACTCATGGAAAGAATAATAAAGGACGCGATGCTTTGCTTTCTGTTGCCACGCAACCTTATCAATAGGTCCCAACGCGGGTTCCTGCCGACTAAATCCTGTCAAACCTGCCAGTTTGAATTCTTAAACCACGTGACACACTATATCGACCTAGGTCAGGCACTGGTCATTATCTTCCTGGACATGAAAAAGCTTTTGATCGGGTCCCACACAATGATTTAATGACTAAACTAGCAGCATATGGTGTCTCCAGCCATCGCCTTCCATGGTTTTCTTCCTACTTTTCCAACCGAACGCAGTCAGTGCAACTGGGCGACATCTCATCCAAAAAGGCATCCGTAACCAGCGGAGTATTCCAAGGCAGCGTCCTGGGTCCTCTGCTGTTTTGCTGTACATTAATGATGTATTTCAAATCTTCAAACACGGCACGCCGTACTTTTTGCCGATGACATAAAAGTTATTTTCTCATTTGACCCTAGCTGTCTACGTAATAGACTCCCTAGCATTTAAAGCGATCTCATCGTTCGTGAAACATGGCGTGATCTATGGAAACTAGAGTTTTCACCAACGAAATGCAATGTCCTTTCCTACCGATGCTCCATACCCCCAAACTATTAACTCTTAACGGCACAAGACTTAATAACAGCTTCACTGTGTGTGATCTCGGTGTACACTATCCCTGCTCATTGAATTTTGCAGAACAAGCGAGCTACAGCTCTGCCAAAGCCAGGTCTATCATTGGCTATATACTGAAGTCAGTGTGCTTGTTAGAGTCTCGACTCATGCTCTATAAGTTGTGTGCCAGCCCTATAGTAGAGTACTGCTCAATCGTTGTTACTAACTCACGTAAAAGTGACAGAATGGTTATTGAGAAAGTCCAGCGTTCGTTCACTAAATGTCTATTAGGAGCATCTGCGCTCAACTATCAAGGCCGCTGAGAGCAGCTTGGTCTGGAACCGCTTTGGCTGCGACGACTTAAAACCAACCTGGTTTTCCTTTATAAGCTAATCAAAACCTCGGACTCAAGTGTCACTAGTTTTTTCAGCCGCCTGGCGATACACGTTATCCTCTACGCCATAAGACATACTTATTTTCCTTACCCATCACACCTTGCTCCATACGTTCTAACTTCTTCCTCTATAGATATGCGCATGTCTGGAATAAGCTACCGGAAGCCGTCAGAGCATCTGATAGTATCACGCAATTCTCCGCGGTCATAAATAGACTATTAAGCGTCCCCAAGGTGGCAGAGATCCTGGGCATCTGCATCCCCGAGGACGAGCTCTGGGAGAATGGCCCCCATCACATATAGACACACAAATTCTTCAACCAGCACTAAAAAGCTCCCTTCCTTCCGAAACCGTCCGCTCCTTATCGCGCTCTTTCCTTTCATTTCTCTCGCAATCGGATGGCAAACTCAGTGCCCTGCATGACCTAGTCTCATTTGACCAGTCTGACTGCATCCATGGCTACGGAATTGCAAATGGTCTGGGACCTGCAGTCAATGTTAAGTCTACTACACCTTGACAGTCTGCTGGAATCGATTACACGTATGCAGTTTATTCCTGTCCATTTCTGCCGCGCCTCCCTATTTGTCTTCTTACCTTAACTATACGCTTCAACCTCAAAGCGCTGACTAACTTAGTCCTATCTGATCGGCGTCCTGCTCCACGACCACCGTTAATTCAGGCCCAATACTCGGAACACCGAACACTCTATACCCCTTTACACGAGTGTCTCAATATCTTTCCCACACATTATCAGTAAAGTACTTCCTATCCCAACCCTTTTCCTCTCCTAATCGCTCTTTTTGCTCTTAAGACGCGAGCATCGTTGGCTTCTCCAAATCCCAGCAGAAAACTTTTTCCATCCCGATCCTGTCATTTGCTGCTGCGTCCTCTGTTTTCAATCCTTCGTCAATCCGACTACCAACTCTCAGTGCCCTGCAATAACCTAGTCTCAGCTGACCCGTCTGCTTCCATTTGACTTCTTCCATACTACCGGGATGTTAAAGTTCCAGGCTCGGTAGACTCAATGCAATGCCTCCCCCACCGCAACAGCCTGCTGCGCTTGCTCACCCTTTTTTACTGCAGCCATATCCATCTGTTACTGTCCACCTCGCGATTCACTCTAACTGCCTCCCCAAACGAACTACAGCCTCAATCACAATGCGCCGACTAATCCAGTCTCAGACTCCTGTGACATTACTGGCCATCGTTCAATCGTTCAATCATTCTTCAACCGGACAGCCATCTCTCAGCGCCCTGTCTTAATTTAGCCTAATCCCATAAGCCAAATATTCTGGGACCACAGGTTAACGGGATGTTAGCGGTCTAAGCTCGGTCGATTCAAAGCCGTGTTTCCATCAATTCGACAGCCTGCTGGACTTCTGTGACGTTGCCGACCACTGCTCGGAAGACTGAACGTTCTGTCTCCATTACCTCGAGAGCCACGTTAACTGTCGCACTTCTTACCCTAAAAGTCTACTCTCGACTCTGTCCTCACCTCATCACGCTGTCTTCATTTCTTCTTCATCCGGAGAGCGTGCTCTCAATGCGCCTCCCTACTATCCTATGTGATTGCTTCCTGACTATCCAAATGTAGTTCTACGTTCTGCTTCACCAACACACAACATCTCTCATATTGCGAGCCTGCCTGACCTGTATATCTTAAAGTCATTTACCCTCTTCAAGCCCTAACCTGTTCATCTCTGCCTACTCTTTATTTATCTTC